TTGCATTTTGTAAGTAATTCAATATTTTTTAATGAAAAACTTTATATTTTACCACTTTCAGTGGCACTTTTTTCCTGCCTTTTTAACAAAGGGCCCCACATTTTTATTTCACGCAGGGCCCTACAGATTATGTAACCAGGCCTGTCTGCTACAGAGTGTTTTTCTGCTCCAGGCTCCACTCAAATCTGGTATCCTTTCCTGTCACTCAGTATATGGGCTGGAGCAGTACTCCTAGGTAGAATGGGTTGCTTATGAATACCGAAAGGTCTACCAAGCACTGTGCCTCGCTTTCTGCAATAAGAAATGCAAGAAGCAGCAATTTGTTTTTACTTTGGAGGCAATGTCCTGACATAACACTGGACCCCTAAGATCCTCTACTGAAGTGCCAAGTCCCTGAATTTTTATAGGGTCTCTCTCCTACCCTCTGGAGCACGTGTCATATGAAAGATTCCAGCATGTTAGATGCCTCTCATTCATCCTGCCTGATCAGCATGATGTCATCAATGTAATGGATGGACATGATGTTCTGCAGGATGTCCAGATCTGTTTAAACTCTATTACGACATATGGTTATAATGGGTGTTTTAACACACTGATCTGCTAATTCCTTCATCTCATCATTTATTATCTGTTTTTACTGCCTAGTTTTTCTTTTGGTTATGGGTCACATTTTCCTGTTTGGGGGCCTGTGTAGTGATTTTTTTTTAAATAAATTTATTTATTTATTTATTTATTTATTTTATTTTTGGCTGCATTGAGTCTTTGTTGCTGCACACGGGATTTCTCTAGTTGCAGAGAGCGGGGGCTCTTTGTTGTGGTGCACAGGCTACTCATTACGGTGGCTTCTCTTGTTGCGGAGCATGGGCTCTAGGCTCATGGGCTTCCGTAGTTGCGGCGCACGGGCTGTTGCTCCGCAGCATGTGGGATCTTCCCAGCAGGGCTCGAACCCGTGTCCCCTGCATTGGCAGGCGGATTCTCAACCACTGCGCCACCAGGGAAGCCCAGTAATTTTTTTTTAATTGGATCCAGGCCGTTGTAAATTTCATGTTGTCGAGTATCTAGATTTTGTAGTCTTCCCTTAAAGAGTATGAGGCCTTATTTTGGCAGTTAAGTTTCTAGCAGATCAGCTTGACACTTTGAGACTTGTATTTAAACTTTGTCATTGTAGGCATACAGTACTTTTCACGCATGATAGTTTAGCTCTACTACAAAAGTATAACCTTTCTGGGTTCTCTACTGAATGCTCCTTGTGATCAAGAGAGACTTTCCCTTCTGGCTGGTTGGATCTCAAACATTTCCAGCTCCTCTGGGAATTATTATATATCCTTGGTCATTCATTGTGTTACCTTATGGTGCCTTCACCCTACGCATGTGCATCTTAGTGTTCAACAATGTCTCACAAAGATATCTACCCAGATTTATGAAGCTTTGCACCTACATAGCCTCCTCCTCTTTGGAACATTGCCCCAAAAGTTCCAGCTACTTCAGCCCCCCTTAACTGTAATCTTTCTCTCTTCAACTCAGTTTTGTTCTGCATGGGACCTTTTTTCTGGCTCCCTGGTTCAGGATGTGCCTCCAGGTAGAAAACTGGGGCAACTGTTTGTTTCCCTTCACATGTACTCTCTAAGGGAAGACTAAGAGGAAGAGACAAATTGCAAATAAAAGTAATAAATAGGCTCTTGAATCGTTTGATAATTTGTAAAGAGAAGTGAATCATACAAATTCATTTTAAAATATTTAAATTTCTTTCTGATTTGACCTCAAACTGACATCAGTGAAATTCATATAAACTCATGTGATTACAAAGAGTGCACTGATGACTAAATTAGTGCCTTCAATTCAAGGAATATCTAAGATTAGTAACTGTGCAAGATAATTTGAAATGCCCATATGAAAATATTTGATAGAACTCCTGAAATTTCACACACACACACACACACACACACACACACAAATAATGAACTACAAGGATGAAAAAAATTTTTCTGAGCTATTAATAATAAAAAAACAAATACTGATCAACCATGCTAGAGAAAAAGTAAATTATCTTTGTATTCTCTCTATAGAAAATATTACAAACCATGGTCATATGAAGAGTTGATTAAAGAGTACATAGCCATAAAATTTGGGAAAAAAGTTTGGAGAGGCATGCCTGACAGTTTATTAATAGAAATATTTTGTTATTTTTACATTTTGCATTATTTGTAATATTTCTCAACTTTTAATAGTTTATAATATTGTGATTTCTTTTCTCAGTCTAAATAAATATACACTTTTGTATCTAGTTTTGTATTTATAATTGCTATTCTTTTTCTTAAGGAGCCCCCAAAATCGTTTATAAGCTTCAGGCCACACAAAATCTGGATTTGCCACTGTTATCATCATCTCTCCACCTAACTGATCTACCTTTATCCATTCCTGTCCTCTTCTAGTCTGTACACCGTGCCACAGCCAAAGGGATCTTATAAAAATTCATGTATGATTATATTTCTCCTCTACTCTTCCAGGGATTTCCCGTTAGCCTTAGGATAAAGACCAAAATCCTTAACAGGGTCTGGGCCCTGCCTACTTATCCCCTTCCTTCTCTCTCTCAGCTGCAGCCATGGTGGCTTCTTTTAGTTATTTGAATGCACCTCCTTAGGACTTTTGCACATGCTGTACTCTGTGCCTAGGAGACATTCTACCACCCACTTATTCCATTAACAAATTATCTCCTTTAAACTTCAGACTGTCATTCAAGGTTATTTCCTCAGGGTATCTTAGACTAGATCAGCCCCCTACGCCCTTAAATGCTCATCACACTCTTTGCTTTTCCTTCATAGTATGTCTCCCTATTTGTAATTATACACTTCTGCGATTGTTAGGTTGTATATTTCTCCGCCACTAGATTGCAAATCCCATGAAAGAGGGAGAGTGTCTCCTCAGCACTAGCCTAGCACCTGGAACAAAGTTGGTACCTAATTATACAATCTCTGGCCCCAAATAATTTATAATCTAGTTTTGAAACAAAAACAGTGAGAAAATTTAACAATCTGGAGCATCAGTGCAGATGGAATAGATTATTTTTGTGTGCAGAAAGTCCTACTGGAAGTCTTGAAATCTGAATATATGGGGGTATTCAGTGTGCAAAATTAGCCTAGCCTGAAGCTGTAACATAGAACACTGGCCATCTGGGAAGTGCTCTGACCAGATTCCCAGCACAATCGTTTTTTGCAGTAGAAATCTACTTCATTCTTATTTTTCACTGTGCTTTTTTTTTCTTATAATTTTTATTGGAGTATAGTTGATTTGAAGTGTTGTGTTAGTTTCTGCTGTACAGCAAAGTGAATCAGTTATACATACCTTAATACATATATCCACTCTTTTTTTAGATTCTTTTCCCATATAGGTCATTAAGAGTATTGAAAAGAGTTCCCTGTGCTATACAGTAGGTCCTTACCAATTTTCTATTTTATATATTCTACTTAATTTTTAAAAATTCTCTTGTCTTCTGTAGCTTACTTTTTAAAAAGTAATAAAACTAAGGATGTTTCCTTCTGCCTAAGCCTGAGAGTTGTGTGTATGACATTCCCAAGCACTTCCATAATTATTTTTACCTTATACTACAGTGCTTTCACAGATTTGAAGATTTCCAGTTGGAGGGTTCAGCTTAGAGAAAATACACCTTATTTGTTAGGAACCAGGAGGTACAGCCTGTTGTTCTCAGTTGGGAATAAGGCTTGGTGGTTCACCTTGCCAGGGATATTTCTTTTGTTATTGTTATATACACCAGTTTCTTTTATTTTTTAGACTCCACATAGAAGTGATATCATACAGTATTTACCTTTCTCTGTCTGACTTATTTCACTAAGCATAATACCCTCCAAGGCCAGAGATACTTCTGTTTTCCTAGACTTGGGCAGAGGGGCAGGGTAGAGCTGTTCTAGAGCTATCACAGAAATATTTGGAGCCCTAGTGTCATGGAATTTTTATGCCTAAACATTACTTAATAACTTGGTTGGGTGACCATGCTGCAGTGTTTTGGTTTTTGTTCAATGTGCACACCCTCCAACATCATCTAAAAGGTCTTTCAAAAAGTCACCAATTTTTAACAATCCGCCTGCCAATGCAGGGGACACAGGTTCATGCCCTGGTCCAGGAAGATCCCACATTCCGCGGAGCAACTAAGCCTGCGTGCTACAATTACTGAAGCCCGCACTCCCAGAGCCCGTGCTCCGCAACAAGAGAAGCCACCACAATGAGAAGCCCGCGCACCGCAACGAAGAGTAGCTCCCAGTCGCTGAAATTAGAGAAAGCTAGTGAGCAGCAACGAAGACCCAACGCAGCCAAAAATAAATAAATAAAAATTTTTAAAAAAATTCACCAATTTAATGTTACAGTAAATATTCCAAAATTCATCAAGAAATATTAGGCTGTCAGAATATCCCTAAATCCTTTGTTTGAAACCACGATATCAGCTGAGGAACAGCATAACCAGGCTTGGAGTTAAACTGAGTTGTAGGGAA